CAGAAATACCACAAGTGGATGGCTTTAACAAAGAGAAGTTTATTCTCTCCAGTCCAGTAGGCTACAAGTCCAAATTCAGGGCATCAGCTCCAGGAGAAGTCTTTCTCTCTCTTTTGGCTCTGGAGGAAAGTCCTTGTGATGCATCAGTCTTCCCTTGGTATGGGAGCATCTCAGCACAGGAACCTCAGGTCCAAAGGACGTGCTTTGCTGCCGGTACTGCTTTCTTGGTGGTATGAGGTTCCTGTGTCTCTCTGCTCGCTTCTCTCTTTTATATCTCAAAAGAGATTGGCTTAAGATACTACCTAATCTTGTAGACCTCATCAATATAATTGTCACTAATCCATCTTATTACATTACGGTGATAGAGTTTACAACGCATAAGGAAATCACATCAGATTAAAAAATGGTACACAATCGTACAATACTGGGAATCATGACCCAGCCAAGTTGACAGATATTTTGGGGGGACACAGTTCAATCCATGACAGTCTGTAAACTGGCAAGGCAGATATTGTTCCCATTTTATAGATAAGAGAATTAAAAGAGATGTTAACTTGCCCAGTTATGTTGCTGGAGCTTTGATTAGAACGTACAATTTTATTTATACCAGTCTAGTGCCCTTGTCTATTATACTTCCATACCATTCTTTTAAAAAAAAAATTATAATCTAGCGCTATTACATGTAGCTATTACATGTATATCCCTGATGGGTTTTTTGTTTTATTTTGTTTTTTAATTTTATTTATTTTGTTATTGTTGTTGTTGTTGAGAAGGGCATCTACATTAACAAGCATCCAGGAGGAGTTTAGTGGCTTGCAGGAAGACCACAAAGTCTAATATCAGGACGACTTTGTTGTTGTTAATATCAACCATTTCGTAGAGCAATTTTCAAGTGAAAAGTATTTTGAAACTTCCTTTTGATCCTTATAATATTTTTGTGAACTAGGCATTATCCGAGTTTTGTAGATGGAGGAAACGAAGCTTGGAGAGGTGGAATGAAACAGACTCTCAGCTAATCGGTTGTAGAGGTGGGTCTTCAATCCAGGCCCCCTGACTCCCAACCACAAGCCCTTCCTCATATACCATGTGGTCTGAATTTACACCACATCTCCACCATCAATTCCACTGTGGCAGGAAGCATGCCACCATGTCCCCTCTGTGGTATGGGAAACATAATCTCTGTGTGCTCTCACCCCTGCCCCCCAGCCCCTAGTACGGAAGAAAGAAAGACAACATTTCATTCCTTGGCCTTTATTTCTGGTTACTCTT